GACAGCTCATATCCTTATCCGGCCTCTGACAGTATTTGATGGGCTACAAATGGCATCTCATCTTTCCAAACTTTGACAACAGCTTTTCCATTAAGGCAAGCCCTGAGAATATGTTTTCATCTACAAAGGATGCATTTAATTCCACTAGGAATTAAAAATCAAAGGAAAAATAAAAAAGTAGCTCTGCAGTGGTACAGTCCTATCTGACAGTAATATTAAAATTAAGCATTCTGCACATAAGAAGGGAATAGGCTGCGTATGTAAGAAGGAAAGGGGAAAAAACCAAAAGGGGACAAATCTTCATAACCAGCATTTTGTTCAGCTGAGTAGCAGTAGTTCTGCTGTCAGATGAACATGGGATTTATTCAGGTACCTGATCTTCAAATCCCTCACTTAAAGCTCAATTTCTTCACCTTGACAGAACCCAAAATGCCTATTCTTTCAAAAGGAAGGAGGCCAAAGTACTCCTGACAATTAAAAAACATGGGATTTCAAAAAGTAGACTTATCTTTCTAACAAAAAGCTTAATAATAGCTGGAATAAAAGGATAGCTCTGCAGCTGGAAATTTTCACTAAGAAATATCTGAATTATGCATCTGTCAGTCTATTGGAAGACAATTACAGTGTTTTTTTCCTCGCTATCTAAATAATTCACTAATGGTTTTGTTTACAAAACAGGCTAGAGGCTATAATAAATTTCATTGCACTTCATAATCTGTGGTCAGATTTCTCTTAAAACATGAGCAAAAATGAAAAATGCTGTAGTGACCATTTTAAAATGGTCTTGCATAGCCCCAGTAAAATATGGCTGAAATTGAGGCTTCATTTTTATGCATATGTCCTTATTAATCTCCATATTGCAAAGGAGTTTAGCTTTCAGTGGCCACCATGAAGCCAAAAGGACTTAAAGGGGGTTTGTCTAGTATACGGCACCATAAAACACTTTCATTAACGGCTTGGATTATAAAATAAGAAGACTATTATTAACTTTGCACCCATTAAAATCAAGCCATAAAGGGTTGGAAGCACTTCTGAGAACAGCAAGAAAATTCAAACTAATTGTTACAAATTGAAGTAATGACTTGAAATAAAAGGGACACCATTTAGTAGTGGCAAAATGCTGCCGCTAGCTTCTAGCTCTACCTGAGCAGAGATAGGTCCAGGTTGGACTAATGTGTCTGGTTTGGGTATTGCTCCAAAGAGGGGAGAGCCAGCTGGAGTCTAAGGAACAGGAATGACCACAGGCCTATAAAGCACAAATCAGATGTAAAGCTCAAAAGCAGCACATTTATTCTTTTAAAAAGAACTGCTCTTCAGGTTCATGTGATAATGGTCTTCGAATAATACAACCCAACCTCAAGGGTTGTATGTATTTGTATTTCAAATTTACTACAGGCTACAGCACAGAGATGTTCAATATTATGAAAAACCTTTCTGGAAACCTCCTTCTCTAAAGACTTCAGCACTAAATTAGGGAAAACTGGTCAGAAGTGGTTAGCTATATTTGAATCTGCCTGGATGACGATCTCTTTAGGTCCCTTCCAGCCTGAGCTTTAATGACCGTATGGTTTAAGTATGTGTTCTAAGTGTCAATGACTTCTACAAAACTGCTGAATGTTAAAACATGTGATTAAACTTTGTGAAGTCAGGGCTAAAAACTGAGACTGTCCTTAATCTGCCTTTTGCCTACTGTATTCAGGATGTCCCAAGCCATACGTTCCCCAGAAGGCACAGCTCTCTTCAAGCTTGTGTACATGCAGGGACAGTGGGTAAGCCTATAGGTTTTTAATGGTGTATCTGTCCTGAGAAGTGAATGAAGATGTAGCTGAAACCAAATCTCAATTAAGCTTGCAGTGGGGTGTGGAAAAATATATTATTTTGCAATTTTATTACCATCAGTGAGTGATTGTTGGAAGCAGTAACTGCGTAAACCAATGTAACAAAAAGGCATGTGTTCAGGCATGGACCTGGTTTTTAGTCTACCTTTGCTCAGCCATCACCTACATGAACTGATTTCACAGCAATAATGACTCCAATCCTGTATGTTCAGATACTCCCATACATTTATTTCAGAGCTGTCTCAAATAATCTTGATTTCAATCAAAAATAACTGACCTAGGGCAGATGATTGGAAACGCCGGACTTAATTTAAAAGGAAATTAAATAACAAGGACAAGAACAGTAAAGTTCAGAAAAGATTACTTATGATGGCTGGGGACACCAGACCTGCATTCTTGTCCTCTGCAAAGTGGTGTCTCACGGGACATGAACCTGAGATGACATTCCTTATTCCAATGTATTATTAAGGCTCTTTCACCCCAACACAGAACATGGTCAGCTGTCATACAGCTGAGAAGCTGAGCTGCAAAAAATAGTGGATTTGTCTCTTAATCCATGCTATTAAAAAACAAGAAGTCAATTGGAAATATCTCCTGACATACAAATAATAAAGCTAACTAGAAAAGGGAAAAAAATAAAATATGATATTTCCACCTGTAATCTCCATAAATTTAAAAAAGTTTTAATTTTTAGGCTGTCTTGCCTTCAAGCCATGTATTTGTATATGAATGCACTGAAGGGGTGACCTCTCCAAACAGCCAGCATTCACAGAGTTGTCTGGAAAACCAGTGTGTATTGATACATACCACATCCGGAACTTAGCATGCAGACCAATGGGATCATTATTTCTTCTTGGCCAGCAAGACTCAAACTAAGCCCCAGACATTCCAGTTTTCAACCAGACACCACCAGCTGCCCTCTTGAAGGGTACGGAGATGCTCTAGGGGGAATTTGCCCACAGTGGCTGAGGTCGAGCTACAAAAATCTTCTTCCTTTCAACATACTTTATTTATTTGATCAGTTTTGCTCTCTGAAAGTGCAAAAATGTGAATGTTTTCCAGGAACAAATCACAGTACTGCAGTGCACTAGCAGGCTTCTGTAATACACTCAGGCAATAGTCAATTCCTCTGATACTTTTTGCATTAGTGTATTTTCAGGCCTTAAATTATATTTTTCATGGAGAAGGCAGAAGCTAGAGGTAGCAATTCTAGGCTTAGTTTTGACAAAAAGAATATTTTCTTGTTTTAATAATAAAATTTCCCTCTCTGGTAAAAAAAAAATAAAATCTGGAACATTAAGCTAAACTTTGAAATATCATTTATCCTTCTGTGTGCAATTCAGTATTAGTTAAAAGCTATAGAAAATGACCTTAACCAGCATTTTCCTGCTTAAGAAAAGCCCTACAAGATAATGGAAACATTTTTCCCATCAGCAGCCTCGAGCAGGCTGCATTGGTGGCACCATGGCTTCTTGGAGGCTTCTGAGAGTTGCACATTTCCTAAGAACTGCCTGACTCTGATCTGGTATGTTGAAGTGACAGAGCATGTCCATTCCTGCTTTTCTTCACACCTGGCCAAGTGTCACATGTTGCTAAGATTTAGTTTTTGACAACATCTTAAACCTTCCAAATTAATTCTGTGAGCACCCAGAGTTAGAGGACTGGCCCATTGCCATAAGTAACAGTCCAATCTGCTTTCATATGTGGTTTGAGGGTCTCATAAGGAACCCTTATGAACACAAACTTATGCACCTTCCCAGGAACATGTCGAGGTTTTCAAACATCTTGAGAGCTTGTGCCAAAAAAGCCTTAAAAATGAAAAAAATCCTTACAAGCTCCTTCAGAAGATTCAAAACAAGCACCAAACTGGTGGCTCCCTCGCTACAGGTCCCGTCAGGCAGAGAAGCCAGAGGTAGTGTTAATTTGGAGACGAATCTCCTGAGCATTATGCTGTTGTCAACAGAGGGTGAAAGGCCTTCAAAAGGGAGGTCGAGCACAACCCAAATTAAACTCCTGCTTTAAAGCATTCTCAGCAATAGATGGCTATAGAAGCAGTGGGGAAAAGACAGCCTTTCCAGAATACAGGTGAGCTCTTATTCCAAAATAACAAACAAACAAATAAATAAATAATAAATCAAAACCCAAACTGCAGGAAGGGACCATCATTCTTATGGACACGCTCTCCCTCTGCGCAATTTTACATACACCCAAACATGAAAGCTTAGAAATAAATTACATGGAAGAGCTAGTTGCGCTTTTAACACAGAATCTACCTGATAACAACACAAATAATCACCAAACCACTTAATTTTGCCAGCTTTCCAGTTACCAGCACTACAAGTGTGTTTGGCGCCAGTAGGGTTACAGAGTGGGATCTTCCCCGAGTTTTCATGATGCAGCAGTAACTGTTTCCTTTTCTGCCCCTAATTTACAGGAGTTCCTAACATACTGTACTTGTGGCCAGTATCAGAAGCTCCTCCATGGTCAGCACCATGATGTAAACTAAACTCACTCTTTCTATCATAGGTTTTCGTATTTACATTGTATTTCAGATGGGTCACACAATGGCTGCCAATTCAGTCTCCTCCCGCTCAGTTTTAATAAAAACTGCTGACCTCTAAATCCAAGAAGAGGAAAAAGCAAGGTTGAATTTTTTCCTTTCTACAAAATTCTGCACAAAATAAGTAGTTTTCTGTGAACTGTAATAGTTTAGACACTGAATGTCTGAAATGAATGTACGGATTTCATGATAACAGAACAAAACTCTCTCTATACCTGAATCAGAAACTGCTTAGAAGAGACACTGTACCATTCTCCAGTTTTGGTTAAGTAAGATTTTAGATTGCTCCTTCAACCTTAACACTTTACAGCTACACAGTTCTTCAGGTTATTTTTAAAAGGCAATCAAAAGACCACTCGGAGACATGTGTGCTCATCTCTCAACCTAGTACACAAATTCTTCTTGGATACTGCAAAGCATTTATTTGCACATTTTTATTTACCAGAAAATGTAATTCAGCTTTCTTCAACCACTAGAAAATATATAATCCCATCACATAATTTTCTTCCAGTTATTCAGGTGTAAAAACAAAGAAAAATTAAAAGACCAGTAACACAGTACTTACTCTAGGACACTCAAACTTCAAAGAAAAGGTTACCTACCAGCTCAACTCGTCCAAACCCTCCGACTCCAAGGGTGTCAATGATGTTGAAATCAGACAGTTTCAGGTTGGCGAAGAAGGCAGCTTCGGCTTCATATCTGGATTTTTTTATGTGAAAAAATGGAAATTTCTTAGAGGTGTAAACATGAGTACTGTGCAATACTGTACCCGAATGGCATGAGCATGGAACAGCCTTTACCTGCTCAGTTTCCATTTTATCTCTTACAGTTTGCTTTTATGCACACACATCGATTTACTAGTCCCAATTATAGCATCTCTCCGATGTGCGTGGTTTCCAAGTGAGAAAAGCAAACATACCTACTGCATGCCTACAATGCAAATGTCTGGTACTGCAATTCAGCTCCAGCTACCCAGCAAATGCTACATTTTGATGTTTTCTATTGATCTTCTTGTGGGTGGGTTTTTTTTTTTTGGTGTCTTTAAGTATTTTTAGAAGATAAAGTCTCTCATAGGAGTATGTCTTATCCACAGGCTAGCAGTAGTTTCTATAAATGTTTATTGGAAGTGGCAAGATCATTAAGGTCCCTGGAGAGAAATCACAGCCAGGTTTTATGAAATCAGATCCGATAAGCTGCGGGCTGGTGTGCAAATGCCTGAAATGAATGAATTCAGTCACATATCAACATTTCTATAAGAATATCTTCACTTCTTTTCCTCCTATAAGCTCACTTGGAGTAGACGTCCCATCCCTGGAGGTCTCCAAATCCAGATGCTCTCTCTTTAGCCCATGTCCAACTGGCTCACAACACAGGTTCACCAAGCCCTTGACTAAGGAAGCATGCAAATTGAACACATGCAAGCCTGCCAAAATAAGCTTCCCATGACTATCCTCATGAACATGATTCCTCTAAAATAGCTCCTTGACAAGGTTTATGGTATTTTTAGAAAGGCTCGGAGGGGAAATGGATGAACAGGATCCACCCACTCAATAAAGTCTGACATTCAGCTGCTGGAGGAGTCCCCGTGCATGTACAACCTTTGGCTGCTGGCAACACAGACTTGTATGGGAAAAGAGCATTGACAGGATTATGGAGACAGGCATGGAGGGTGTAAAGGGGGAATTGGTGTGGTTTGCAGCACTTAATTTTAGCCAAAATATTTTTCATATAATCCACTATTTCACCTGGATGTTTCATTTGTGCATGATAATGCTAGTGTAAAGATAAAACATCATAATGTTAGCCTCAATCATACATACATATGCACCTGTCTATCCTTTTAAGCACCTTGTCCATCACACCTGTCTTTAATTCAATAATGGGATGGAATTGATCTATTGACTTTTTCCCTTCAAACTACGTTCTTTAGTTAAAACTTCAATGACACTGGGAGGGAAAAAGCCCCTCTCTCCTCCCTCCAATTTTAAAGTTAAAAGGGAAAAATAAAATGAGATGTGAAGAAATGTGAAAAGTCACATCACGAAGGCCCAAATCCAATGCAATAAAGCATAATTTTAACTTGGGGTGCTGTAGACAAACTATTTAAACTCTGCTTTATTATTTATACTGTCACCAGATCCTCTTGGTGACCTTGCTCCTGTGGCCACAGCAGCCTGATGCATCTGACTTTGGAAACCAATCAGAACTGAGCCTGCTTTAAACTTGGGATAACCTTGTGTGACACAGCTGCTTATTGATTGCTTTACACTCATCAAGAGGTGCATACTAAACCTGTCACTGAAAACCTCTGCTAAATTAAAGATGTACCTATGTGCTCCCTTCTAAATCACAGCAGAAACATTATTTTAAGGGTGACAGAGCAATGAGATGGATCTAATTTTCATGATAAACGTATAGACCAGTTGAATACCCTTAATGATTTATAATTGCTAGGGAGAGGAAATCCCAGCACGGACAATTTCCCTTCAACAATCAAACAACTTCAGGTCAAGGAGCCCTGCATTATCTTTGCCTAAGCCATCTCGTGCTTCCAGGGAGGCATGGCGTCAGCTATCCCATCTTCTCTCCTGAGCAACTAGTAAGGATTTCTCAATGCTGAACAAGCAGGGTATGAGAAATGGCAAACAGCAGTGTGTCAGAAGGGTTAGGGGCTCCAAAATCATATGGGACAGAGACAGGAAATACTGCTTTCCCTATAATACCTCATCCTGAAAGATGACCAAGTCCTACAAAAATTATGTATAGTTCACATCATGTGTCACGAGAGGACAAATCTAGGTAAGACATGGCATGCTGCTGGTAAGGCAAGCAGGATGCTTGTTCCAGCTCCTGCAAATTCCACCAGTTCTCCCAAAAATCCCTTAGTTTGATTGCAGTCAGGATCTTCTACTCCAGTCCCAACTTCTTCATCATTTTGTGTTGAGTTGCAGAAACTGAGAGCTCTACTGATGGCTTTTAAAGTACAAAAATATGTTCATTCATTGCTTTGTTTAGAAAATGTACTTGCAGCATTATTGTGATAGTTTTTTGAAATCTCTTGGCTAATTTTCTGTGACAGACTTCTTAAGTGTAGTTAATACAGACAAGTGAAACGAAGCATATAAAACAGTCAGATGCAGTTTGCTAAATAATGTGCAACAGGCATCCAAAAACCGAAAGAAATTCCAAAAACATATAGTGAAACCAAACACATTTAAAATCAGGCAAGCAAGCCTTTCACACACTTAGTAACAACAGTCTCATCTGAATTCTGTTTTAATCCAAGCTATAAAGGTCAAAGTCCACTTTCAAGATAAATTCCTATAAACTAACAGAAGTTATACACTTACAGGCCCTGAGAAGCTTAAGAAAAAATATCTCTTCAATCACTAAATAAAAATATCAAAATGCAAATATTCCCAAGACATCTCCTAATCAGAAAGCAGGGTATAATCCTCATCCTGACACTTAGAATACGGAATATTCAACTTCTGTCCTCCAATTTCCTTAATTTAAGGATGCTGCTCTCTAAACAGAAAATCCGAAGGCTTTTTGTAGCACGTGTTCCTCACTCAATAAAATTACAGTGAAAAAAAAAGTGATGTATGATTTTATCCCCTCCAAAAGAAAAGAGACTCTTTCAAGGCATTGGGAGGGCAGTGCAAAGAAATACAGAAGTAGTTAAAAAATTATATTGTTGTATTAAAAATTAATATTTGTGTGTCTACAGGAAAACATCTGGCTCTGGACCAGACTGAAGAAATCTGCTTACACTTAGATACTGGGGAGGATGTTTGGGATATTCCCTGGGAACATAACAGAGATGGGATGAATGGTGGAGACAGTTTGACCACACTTGTGCACGATGACATGGAAATAACTTGCACTCTGGGAAAACATACATGTGTGCCAAGTCAGGGTATATTTCTTCTGATCTGATCTTCAGATGCTACAGGCTCTTCCCATCTGGTACCTAGCAGTCTAACAAGAAATGCGGCTATATTCTAAATACACAGATGCATGCTGGTACTCTGAGATTTTTCAAACAAGAAAATGATTTTTTGACCTCTGGAAGACTTGGTGATTTAAGTTTCTAAATTAATAGATAAGAGATCTATTGGGAAGACATCTTGACCAGGCTTGGAGGCACGAATGCTGATCAGTATCATACCCATGTTCAGTGACACTTTGGAGCTACACAGAAGCAATATCCAAACTTTCTATGCTGAGATTTCTGGGGTTTTCTGAATTAGACATAATTAAGAAGAGTCCTTCTCCAGATATTTTGGTAACTGTGCCTTTTGCCCAAGCTATCACAGGCCAATATGCCTGGGAAATCATAGCTGGAAATGCACAAGAAAAGACACAGGAAACAGATTCTCCTGGAAGGCATCCTAGGGCACATGATAAACAACAAGGTGCTTGGTGACAGCCAGCATGGCTTCACTAAGGGGAAATCCTGACTGACCAATTTGGTGGCCTTCTGTGATGGGGCTACGGAACTGATGGAGAGGGGCAGAGCAGTTGATGTCATCTACCTGGACTTGTGCAAAGCGTTTGACACTGTCCCACACAACATCCTTGTCTCTGAATTGGAGAGACATCCACTTGATGATGGACCACTCTGTGGATAAAGAACTGGCTTAATGGCCATATGCAAAGAGTTGTGGTCAATGGCTCAATGTCCAGCTGGAGACCAGTAATGAGTGGTGTCCCTCAGGGATGAGCGTTGGCACTGGTCTTGTTCAACATCTTGGTTGGTGACATGGAAAGTGGGATTGAGTGTGCCCTCAGCAAGTCTGCCGATGACACCAAGCTGTGTGGTTCGGTTGATACCCTGGAGGGAAGGAATGCCATCCAGAGGGACCTTGACACGCTTGTGAGGTGGGCTGATGCCAGCCTCATGAAGTTTAACCATGCCAAGTGCAAGGTCCTACACCTGGGTCGGAGCAATCCCAGGCACAGCTACAGGTTGGGCAGAGAAGAGATTCAGAGCAGCCCTGTGAGAAGGACTTGGGGGTGTTGGTCAATGAGAAAATGAACATGAGCCGGCTTCAGTGTGCGCTCACAGCCCAGAAAGCCAACCGTATCCTGGGCTGCATCAAAAGGAGCGTGACCAGCAGGTGGAAGGAGGTGATCCTGCCTCTCTACTCTGCTCTTGTGAGACCTCACTTGGAGTATTGTGTGCAGTTCTGGTGTCCTCAACATAAAAAGGACATGGAACTGTTGGAACAAGTCCAGAGAAGGGCCACAAGGATGATCAGGGGACTGAAGCACCTCCCGTATGAAGACAGGCTGAGAAAGTTGGGGCTGTTCAGCCTGGAGAAGAGAAGGCTGTGTGGAGACCTCATAGCAGCCTTCCAGTATCTGAAGGAGGCCTATAAGGATGCTGGAGAGGGACTTTTCATTAGGGACTGTAGCGATAGGACAAGGGGTAACAGATTAAAACTTAAACAGGGGAAGTTCTGGTTAGATATAAGGAAGAAGTTCTTTACTGTGAGGGTGGTGAGGCAGTGGAACGGGTTGCCCAAGGGAGCTGTGAATGCTCTATCCCTGGCAGTGTTCAAGGCCAGGTTGGACAGAGCCTTGGGTGACATGGGTTAATGGGAGGTGTCCCTGCCCATGGCAGGGGGGTTGGAACTAGATGATCTGAAGGTCCTTTCTGTCCATAACTGTTCTCTGATTCTATGTAACGTTAT